TTCTGTACTTTAAAAATACCAATTATTCTTGTATTGGTTCATCTTTAACCTGGCTAGAAGATTTTCTCTGTTGTTTAAACTTTTGTTGTTTTCATTTGATTACTTCAGCCTTTTTTCTATATCAGGAATTCATTATTTAGCATGATTATTTTGTTTCTTATTTATTTATTAGTGGTATAATGAAGCTTGCTCCTCAATTTATGTTCTTAGATCTACATTCTCCAGTTCCATTTCATTCTTTAAAAAAAAAAATCATTTTATGAATACATGTTTTTAACCCAGAGTACTTGTGGAGTATTTTGTTTTGGTACTTAGGTTACCTTTTTCCCTTGATTGAATTGTTTGCTATGTGTTTTTCTTGTTTCAGACTTTAAAAAAATAATCTCTTTGCGAAATTTTCTAGTCAACTTTTTTCATTTTATGACTGTGGACACATCTGGTCAAGGCTGTATTTGCTGTGACATTAGATGCTGTGACTCTTTCCCAGAGTATTTTTGAGCCTAGTTTGTTTTTCTTCACTCAGCTTCAGTTTGAGAGCTGAGAATTTCAGTTTATACCTAAGTTTTTTTCATAGGCCAAGGATATGTAAAGGGAAAATGCAAGTTGTATCTGGTCTTATTCCTCTTTTAAAGTGTTAATTTTTGTGCTAAGAATCACTCCACCTCACAGCTATATCTGTTCCCAAGGGACATCTCTAGGTACTCCTTTTCTGTTCACCAGTTAAGTGTAGAGCCTCCATCTTGAGAACCTGTCCTGTTGTTCTAGTTTCAGCTGGAGAAGGGAAAGGGTAGGATTATTAGTTCTTATGAGAACTCTCTTGCATTGCTGGTTTAGCAGTGGGGAGAGGCCATATCAGGGTAGGAATTTTTCCATATTCTGAGTACCCTTGCTCCAGAGTCTTTCTAGAGCCATGACTTTTTGATATTTAGAACATAAGACCCTTTCTTATATGGTTGCTTCTGTAAAACATTTGTAGGCTTTTTTTTTTTTTTTTTTTTGACCATTTGGCTTACTTTTTTCAGTATTTGGAGGGAGAATCTACCAGACAGCTTTGTTTTGTGACTTTCTAACTATTGTATCTTTGTATTTGTCACTGGCCTCTCTTTCTATTTCCTAAATGTGGGTGATGTCTGAGCTACTTTACTATATTTCTTCATATATTCCTTATCACAGAAATTTCAGAAATTTATACTGTTCTCATGTTATCACCTCTTCTTATTTATAGTTAATGGTGACCTTAATCATGAGATCTCATTCTGGATGTTTCTCCAAATTGCTTGAATGTTTTCTCTTATGTTAGTTTTCTAGTCATGCTGCAGCAAGGTACCACAAACTGGGTAGTTTAAACAACAAGAATTTATTGTTTCACAGTTCTGGAGACTACAAGCTCAAAATGAAGAGGTTGGTTCCTTCTGAGGTCTGTAAGAAAAGGTTCTGTTCCATACTTCTCCTTTGTTTGTAGATGGTTGTCTGTATTTTTATTGCATTCTTCTTATTTGTATGTCTGTCTCCAAATTTCCTCTTTTTTTAAGGATACCAGTTAGATTAGTGTCCATCCTAATGACTTCATTTTAACATAAGGCCTATGCAAAGACCCTGTCTCTAAATAAGGCCCCATTCTGAGGTATTAGGAATTAGACTTCAACCTATGAATTTTAAAGGAACACAATTCAATATAAAATACTTGATTATTCACTCATACCACAGATGTTTTCTGCTATGCCAAACACTAGTCTAGGCACTGGCAATACAAAGAGGCACAGTCTCTTCCCTCAGGTGAGTGGGAAGGTTAGAATGTATAAACAGAAATTTATAATACATGCAATTAAGTGCCATCCTAGATGAAACATTATTATAAGAACACCTTGGTGTTCATGGCTAATTGAATCAGGGATGATATCTCAGAGGAAGTGATGCATATGCTGGATCCTTCCCAATAGAATGCAATTGTTGCATAATTGTTCTCCCTGCTTCTAAGCCACACCCTCAGTCACCTAGCCCTGGACTCTACCACCCAGTTAATCTTTCCAAGTGCCATTTTTATTAAGATACTCCCTGGTTGTGAAACCTATGATGACTCTTCACTGTCAACAGAACTAAATCCAAAAATATTCTGTAACCTGGTTTTTAGTTCATCCATAATCTGGTACCATCACTGGAATCGAACTCTCCTGCCTTGATCTTTCTATTGTTCTCCTTACTAACACTGTACATTACCAAACGGACTAACACATTCTGGAGACTTTCTAGAATTAAGGAAGGCAGGATTTTTGTTGTTTCACAATATATCACTGCACCAAAAGCAGTGCTTTCATAAAAGTGTACTTAAGACTAATTGGTTAAATAAACCAGTGAATGAGATTTCCCTGGGAAATCCCTCTGCTTGCAATGCATGCCTCTCTTCTTTCCCAGGTACATACACTTTGGCCTATTGAAATCTTATTCTTGGTACTCCACTCATGTATCCTCTCCTACATTATGACTTTCTTCTGGAGCACATGTGCCACATGTGAACTTACAGAATTCTAAAGGCTTTAATATCCTGTGTGTTAGGTGTCTGTTTAGGTGTTAATTTTTTTGTTCCAAATTGAATTTTTTTATTTCAGGGACCATTTAAAAAAATTACATTGTATTCTGTTTAGCACTCCCTACACAATTACAGATGCCAAAAAATACTTTTTTGCTTAAAAAATGAATGACAATATTGCATTTGATGGCAGTGGGGGGAGAGTGGAAAAGAAAGCTAAGAGATAGCTAGCTGATTTAGTCCCTTTGTTTTGTCTTGTTTTTATTTACAACATTTAAAAATTCCTTCAGCAGATATTTATTAAGCACCTGTTTTACTCAAGGCATGGTACTAAGTGATTAAATTACTTCTTCTGACAGAGAAATAAATAGTCCTGATGTTCACTATCATATGTACAGGTTTTTGGTTACATTTCTACACTCAGAGGTAGTCATTCTATTTTCCAGAATCTTTTTAGATATTGAGGTTGCCTGTGGGTAGGGCCTGGTCTTTTTCCTCCTATTTCCTACTGCCTAGCACTGAATTTTACACTTGCTGGTGATTTGAACAGGTTCTTTATTTACCCTCAGGGTTCTTTGACTTTTCTCTAATTTGTCTTATCTCTCCAATTATAGAATGCTGAATTGGGACCCAGGATACTGATTGTTCTGCTTAAGCTGAAAGGCCCTCTCTTATCTTAAGAGTAATAGTGAGCACAATAAATAGCACATTTAGCATCATGCTTAAGGTTTTACATGAATTGTATTTCCTAATAGGCCTGTTGCTAATACCACTGATTTCTACTACTCCTTAATTTCTAACAAGTTGTCATATTAACATATTGAGATTGTCAAATAAACATCTAAAGTTTGTCTGCCTCTTTGCTCAAACTCATGAGTCAGAATTATGCTGCAGCGCTTGAGCCAAACAGAAATGCAGTCTTAGCATTTAGCCTGACAGGTCATGCATATGGAGTGTCATATTTTTTCAGAGGGTCTAATTTTTATTTATTTGTTTATTTATTTATTTGGTGGGACCCTCACCAGTGGCTGGGGATCAAACTAGCACTGCAGAGGCTGCAGGCAGCCTCGCAACCCAGCACTCAACCGCTGCGCCACCAGGGGAGGCCCAAGAGGCGTCTAATTTTAATAGATTCCTCTCTTAAGAGAAAGCAAAGAAGTTAAAAAATCAAGATGGAATAATGGAATAGTAATGAATGGAGGGAATGACAGAGAACTTGTTTTGAGGTCCTGCTTGACATGATTGAAGAGGAGATCTGAGAGTTTTCATAACGAGAGAGTGTTACTATGTCATGATCATTGTTTTGGGGGATGGGAAAGCACCCATTTTATTTAAACATGCTATATACAATTCAGAGCAACATAAGTTCATGGAAGTGGTATAACAAATTATAAAGCATGAGTCTAACCCTATGCTCTCTGTAGATTAATAGTATATTACCTGTATCATCCAAAAGACTATGGCACAAGATAATTAAAAAGAGCAAATATATAAAAATCAGTAGAGAGTCTTATATAATGCTGCAAAGCATGCTGAACTTATTCATGTTTTGTTTAAACAAAAATCAATATTAGTTTATCCTGAACACATATCACTAGAACAAGCGGAAGGCTCTTAGATGTTTGGACTCCAGCTGGTGGAACTTTAGTTATTTGAAATCTCACTGCAGGGTCATCCAACTCATAATCACAACAGGCATTGTTTCTTCCTGGAGGGCCAACTACTCTTCTCCTTTGTTCATTCTCCTTTCCTTGAAGCCGTGTGCTTTCCTATATAGCTGTGGATTTTGGGGGAATGACTGCCGCCATCATTTTCCTCATAAATGACAAATCAGAAATTAGGCAACTCAGAAAAAATCCCCCCCCCCTGGACTTCTTTTTCTATGAGATAATGTGTTCCCTTACTACTTAAGGTGTGTTGAGTGCTCTGTTATTTGCAAAGGAAAACATCTTCCCTAATATTGTAACATTCTTATATGAAAAATAGGAAGTACTGGTATCTTTGTCATAATCAGTCTTGTTTTCTTAAAAGACCAGGCTTATATTTTCTTTACTTTTCTAAAGCTTAAGATGTAGCAGTGATCTTCACTTTCACAGATATTTGAGAACTTCATGTTTATTTTTCCCTCGAAATTAAGACGTTAGTTTCTTTACACCTTAAGTGTATGTGCTGACTCATCAGATCTGCTCCCAGATTTCACATCTCTTGCAAGTTGTTTTGAATCACTAGAGAAATTTTTGCGAGATTGATCACATGTCCTCTTCCTGCTCTTTTAACACCATGCCTTATCATTAACTGATAAAGTGACATTCATTAACTGAATCCTTTGTCAAAAAAATTTATGCCTGTTCTTCCATTGGTAGGAGTTGACATGTCTGAGAATGAATTATGTGGTATTAAGAAGAGGTTCCCAAGCTTGGTCCATCATCAGAATCTCCCCACACATACTAACTGAATCCAAATTTCTCTCCAGGTAATTCTAATTATCAACCAGCACTGGCAACCACTGATAATAAGGAGATAGAAGAGAGAAAATTGTACTGACCTGATCCCATTCCTAAAGTAAGTGGTTTCAAATCTCACTTGACAAAGTCAACTATGTCAGAACAAAATTTTATTTCTTTATAGCTTATTTTTAAAAAAATTATCTTTTTAATTGAAGTAACATTGCATTATGACTGTGAGATTGCATCATTAAAAAGTGAACGTTTGTCTATACTACATTAAGTTCAACACTAAAAACTCAAGTCTGTCCTTCATCACACAACTGACCTCTTTTATCCGATTTACCCACCCATTGCATTTCCCTTCAAACCACTAATTTGTCTTATAATCTAAAAGTTTATTTTTGTTTTAATTAATTTCATCCATTTGTTAAATTTCTCTATTTAGCACATACGAGTGAAATTATATGGTGTTTCTTTGTCTGAATTATTTCACTAAGCATCATACCCACTACGTTCATCCATGTTGTAAGAAATGGCAGGATTTCATCTTTTCTTTTTTACAGATCAGTAATATTCTATTGTGCATATATACACCACGTCTTCATCTGTCATCTGTTGATGAACATTCAGATTGTTGCGACTCTTTTTCTTTATTCTTTGGGGTGGTAGGAACCTCTTTCAGTCAACTCTAATCTGAAAGCAACCCTCTCCCTCTCAGCAAGTTAGAAAAAGCTTATGTAATAGCAAGTTAATTGGGAAGAGATACCTTTTCGTCCTGCTGTCCTCTGTCTACAGTGCCATCCCCTTAGATAATCTGGTGTCCTATCAGATCTTTGGCCACTTGGCCCTGTGTGTCTATAGTATTGCTAGGGAAAGACTCCATTTTCTGCAGCTCCTTGGCTTCCATGCTTGTGCAGGGTCCTTAGGGGTCTTGCTACTGCTCTTACACAATGCTGGAAGAAAAGAAACTTCTCTCTGACTGCCTCAGATGCCACCAGTCACCTGTTTCAGCTCTACCGGGCAACAGAGGCTGACCCCTCATGTACTCTGTTCCCATAATCCTGCCTGGCAGCTCACCAGGGCTTATTGCCCTCCTCGCTGAGGTCCACACTAATTGCTTTCCCTTTTACTCTCACCTCCCCCAGACCTAGCACTAGTTCTATGCTAGAAGGCATGGTTACATCAGATCTCTTGTCTGTGCCCTTGAGTTCTTCTGCAGTGGCTAAGTGCCTCAAGTTTTGTAACTCAAAAGCCAGTCTAAAACTTTGTGTTTTGAACTTCTTCTATTCTGTTTCATTTCTGAGGTGATTTGCAAGGCCTAGTTATTAAATGAAGAGAAGTGGCAAAAAAAAAAAAAAGACAGGCATGACAAGGAAAATGCTCAGGACAACTCCAACAACTAAAATTATCTGGCCCAAAATGTTGGTACTGTTAAGATGAAGAAATTCTGGTTTAAACAAATGGTACTTTAGAGACGTTCCATGCACTTTACTATACTTAAAAAGTTTCTGATTCCCTACCCCCAGCCTCAGTCTTTCTAAATTGTGGGAACAGAAGAAACTCAAACACCCACATCTTTCTGTATGGTACTAAGACTCACAACCTCTTTGAGGCTTTGTTTCTGCTAAATTACAGAGGGGCTAAGGGGAGAGGTGAGGGGAACTGGCTCCTGTGAGAAAACAGATGGGGAAGGGAATACACAGGAAACACATGGATTAGTATCTAGGTAGAAGTTTCCCTAGCAATCTTTCAATCTTTTGAATTCTTATCTCAGGGTTTTTAAAACCCCTAGACGGCAACTGGGGCGACTCCATGTGAACTCTGGGTTTGTAGAGGCATAACCCGAAGAGAGGCTGGCTGCCATGCCTTCCTGGGGAAGTTCTTTGACCAGCACACAGCTGAGATCCTACCACCTCATCCCCACCCACTGCTGAGCTTCACCTGACCTTTCTAGTGCATTAGTCAGGTTCATGTCTTCCTTTTTCTCACCAAGCTGGCCCTGCTCTCCTTTCTTGCTACACCTTCTGCACTTGAAGGTGTGTCTCCCTTACCATGAGGCCAATGAGCAGTTAATGTTTCTAGGAAATAGCTTGATTTAAGCTGTCCTTCCCTGCTCTCTTGCTTTGCACAAGAATACAGTTTCAAACCACCACCCCATAGAAGACCAGCCATGACTTTCTACAGGAAAGCCAGCTGTTTGGTTCTTCCTCTGAAGTCTTTAGTACCCCCTGGATTCCTTCCCTATGCTGGTATCTTCCTGTAGCTTGCTTCAGTTTGTGTGTGTAAGGGCTGGACTGGACACGATGCAGGTTTTCTGATCCAGCAGACTGGGTAAAGGAGGAGTCAGAATCCTCAGTGGTTTTTGCAGGTCTTTTACTGGGATTTACCCGGTACACAGCAGGCAGGGGTGCTGGGGGGCCAGGAGGCTGGTAGGCCTCTCAGCCCCCAGCAAATCCTCACTCTATCTGGGCTCTCTGGCGTTCTCTCTCGGCTTCTCTTTTGGCTTCTACTGGCGTCCTTAAAAGCCCAGTCTCAGCCCAGGTGAATCCCATCTACCTATGCCCACACCCTACTCCAGGTGCCCGCCATCAGGCATGCATTCAGGACCTCAAGGATCCATCATCTATCCTGATGGCAGCAAGGCAGAAAAGCCTGACATTTTTCCTTACCCTACAGTGTGTCTCTGAGTAGCACACATGGTTAGACAGATATGTTTCGCAAGTTTGTTCCCATAGTCTGATTTTATGAAGAAAAGAGATCAGTGGGGAGCCCAGAACATCCTGAAAATTCAGAGAAGTGGAAAACCACAGACCCCTGTCCGACCTCAACAAGCCCTGGGAAACTATATGCTGACTCTACCACTCCTGTCCTCCAGGGACAGTGTCCCTGGCATATTTTGTAAGGTTTCAATAGATCTCCACATTTGAGTATTCACCTGGAGATAGTGTCTGAACTCCTGCCAAGTACTTCCTATCACAGTCCTGAGTGAATTCAGGAAGTGTTCCCATATGAGTCTGGCTTCTGATTAATGCTGATATAGATTTGAGCAGAATGGACAAAGCCATCAGACCCCTCAGGCACACTCCTTGTGTACTGGTATAATATCTATTTTGTGCTGACATAAGCATCTTATGGCTTTTAAGAGTCTTAGGTAAGCTGCCCTGTGAGAAGCCCCTTCTCTGGGCAGCAGGCACACTTTTCACATTTAAAGTTGACGTTTTACTTTAGGCCTAAAGAAGCTAATCTGGGAAGATTAAGTCACTTCTTTACCAAATGACCCAATCAACCAGTGACTATCAAAAACAAGGAATAGAATTCACGGGTTGGCTGCAGGTGCTGGGCAGTGGAACACTAGCCCCAGCACCCCATGAACAAGCTCCTGTTTAATCTGATTACTTATTTCTGAGGCCTTTGGAGGCAGTCTGAACTCTGACAAGGAACCATTTTTTCTTTCTCTGTAGCATTTCCCTCATCTCGTACTCTTTTTTTTTTTTATAATTTTTTTTTAATTTTTTTTTTTTTTAAGATTTATTTATTTATACAAGCACTGGGTACAGTCAGAAGCGCGGGAGGGTGAGAGAATTCACCAGAGCCAGAGCGGGGAGCAGAGCAGGTAGAAGGACCGAAGTACACTGCTGAGGGGAGCAGCGGGCGGCAGGAGAGGTCTGCGCGCCATGCGGGACCCTCCCCCGGTGGCCGGGGAGCAGCCGGGGATCAAACCGGCGCTGCAGAGTCTGCAGGCAGCTTCGCAACCCAGGGCTCAACCGCTGCGCCACCGGGGAGGCCCTCATCTCTTACTCTTAATGGAGGTGAAGAGATTTTATTTGTCTAGTGTTTTTGACTTTTTAATGTTTCTGCTTCACAGGCATGAGAACCGTGACTTTTCTGGCATCTCCATCCCGTGACTTTTCTGGCATCCCCAACTTCAAGTGTTTCAAATCGGTTATTAAGTTCCCAGTTATGCTTTTAACTAGAAGATATCTCTGTACCTTCCCCAAGTAGAATAAGCTGCTTCCCATCTCTATGTCTGGCAGTAGGTGTCCATGTTAAATAACAGTAAAACGTACATGTGTGTTACCATTCTGCACATGTACATGTATATCTAGAAAAGTTTCTAGAAGTAGGATTGCTGGGGAAAATATGCATTTTTAATAACAATAAAAAACAACTAAACAAAACAAAAATAAACAGACAACTACAAATCAGAGACATTCTGCAGGGGAAGAAGAGGGAGAGGGGTCACAACGAGGGCAGGAAGATCACAAGGGACTATGATGATGGTACATGAGTGAATTGGTGGTGGAAATTCTAAGGGGACTACATCTGAGAAAAGAAAGCAAACACTGTAAAAAAATGAACAATGATGTAAAATATATATAAATAAAATATTAAAAAAATGTACTTTTTAATGATGATGCCATATTGCCCTTATTAAGAGTTATACTAATTTACACTACTACCAGAAATGTATGAACTTCCCACAGTCCGGATTTAATAGAGTTAACACTTTTTTGGATTTATTTTAATCTGGTTGATCAAAATGTTGGGACTTTGGCCCATACAATGCAGTATAATTTTGTAGATTTTTTACTGTGATTAAACTTAAGCAGCTTTTCATATGATTAAGAGCCATTTGTGTTTCATTTTTAAATGTAATTTGCCCATTTTTTCTTGGTTTATAGTATTTTTCTTATCAATTTCTAGGAACTCTATATATTAGGGAGAGTAGCACTTTTTATCTGTGATATGAACATATTTTTTCCTGTTTGTCACTTGGTTTTTCACTCTTTATTTCTTCTTGATTTTCATATGGTTAAAAACACATGCGTCTTCTCATATGTATTATATTTTTTTAAATCAAAGTTAGAAAGGCCTTTCCATTCCAGAACTATAAAGGTATTCTCCCATGTTTTCATTTAATACTTTTATCTTTCTATTTTTCTTATTTATATCCTTGGTCTACTTGGAGTTTATCCTGATTTGTAGTGTGTTTGAATCCAACCTTTTCTTCAGATGGTTATCCAGTTGTGCCACGTCAGTGAATAACTGCTGGTAATTCAGTGTCCAGTGGTTTGAGATAACAGCGTTGTCATGTACCAAATGTCTTTTAAAATAGTTTCTATTCTGAAATGGCTTTATTCTAGAATGCTACAAAAGGTCTAAATATTTCTTTGCAAACCTAGAAAAATTTTTTTATTCTGGTAAGCTATATATCATTGAAATTTTCCCTTTTAACCATATCTAAGTGTACGGTTCAGTGGCATTAAGCATATTAAACTTGTGCAGGCATCACCACCAACCCTTTCCAGAACCATTTCATCTTTCCACTATGTGACTTTGAATCAAATGTATCATTCTTTTAATGACATACCATCCATTTGTAAGGTATATGCTGATTTCAGAGATGTTAAAATGTAGGAAATTGTACATTTTAGAATTTCTAAAATAGAGCTCTAAGTTCTCAAAGGTAGCTAGTGTGTTTCTGGTTGTTCTAGCCTATTCTTTGTCTGCTGATGTGCTGGTGTCATGATGGTGTAATTATTAAAGATTCAGAATATATTTAAATATGTAATAGAGCTTGTTTTTCTTCCCTGGTCTTCTCTATCATAGGTTTCCCCCACACCCCCCTCAATTACTCCTGTCTCTCTGTTCATATAAATTAGGTAGCTTCTCTTTGGCTCATAGTAGATCTTCTTCCCCTCCCTCTTTCTACCTCTTTTCCACTTAAATTATAGACTTGCATAGAGAAGACCTTTTTAGGCCTGAAAATCAGTTTTAAGTCTTAGATCAGAGTAGCTTCTTTTAAAGTTTGTATGTCTTCTTGACTTTCTTCTCCTGGGTTTTTATTTTAGCATTGCCATGGGAGTTCATTCCTGATCTATCTTGTTCCCATAAGAGAGAAAATACTCCTTTGAAAGTTCTCACAGTCATTTACTCCTTTTCTATCTCACATATAGAATATCAGCCCTTTTCAGCAAAGTAAGCAGTATTCTCAATGATAAAGAATCTAAATGCTTGCAACTACATCAGGGTTTAATGTGGTTCACTAATGCATTTACCCAGGGTAAAATGTTGTTGTTTTGCCAGTTATTCTTATTAAATTTTTAGCAATTTTAATATTGTATTACTAGAAACTTGGCTTTATTTCAATTTATAGATCACAAATGCATTCCTTTTTTTTTGTTGTTTTGTTTGTTTGTTTTGCTGAAGAACCCATTGCAAGAGGCTGTAAACCCTGTGGAAAATGGCCTTCAGTGATCTTACATCCAGAACTGTGCGTCTTTATGATAATTGGATCAAAGATGCTGGTAAGTACCCAAATTTCCTAATTGAGGCTCATCCTTCCTTTTGATATTAGATTCCCATATTTAATAAGATTTCATTAAAACAGATTGAGAGACTGCAATACACTCCCTGATAGACACCCCCAAATACTGATTTTTATTACTAATTAAGAGGAAGTGTCAAAGGTTTCATTTCAGATATGTACAAAGATAGAGTCCATTATAATGTTTATGATAGTGAAAATAGCTTTAATATCCAGTGAAGGGAATTGGTTAATAAATGATGGTACCTTCTAAGTCAGTAGCTATTAAAAGTGATTTTGGAGGCACGGTGCACTCAGGCTTGATTCTGTCCTAATGCTCCTAAAGTGAAATGAGCCAACAATGATTCTGTCCCTGATGATTCTTGAAAGGGAGGGGCTGCACCCTCAAGGCTGTATCAGGAAGGGCTGGGAGTATTTCCTAGGATAACTCCTGCATGATTCTGAAATGCTTGTCTTCCCCCATCCCCTCCACCCATTAAAAAAGAGTCATCATCATAGAAGAATATTTAATGCCATGGCAAGAAGCTTAAAGTATGTTAAATGAAGGCAGGTTATAAAACAGCATGTACATTTCTTTTATGAGTGTTTGTAGTTATCATTTGTGGTGAGGTTATAGGTAATTTCTATTTACTAATCTGTGTCTCTCCATACTTTTTTTTTAAAGGTTTATTTTTATTTATTCATGCATGCAAGAAATGGGGTGTAGGCTAGAAGTTCAGGGGGTGAGAGGATTCACCAGAGACAGAGTGGGGAGCAGAACAGGCAGGTTTACTGAAATACACTGCTGAGGGGAGCAGCAGGTGAGACTGGAGAGGTCTGCTGCACCATGTGTGTAGGTTAGCCAGAGTTTAAACTCATGCCAGACTGGCTGGCGAAAGCTTAATAGCACTGAGACTTTAACCCCTGTGCCACCAGGGAGGCCCTATTTTAATTGCTTTTCATCTGAGAAATATATCTTTGCCTGAACTCTTGCCATTTGTGGTTGGGAAATAGGTAGAGTTGAGTACATTTTTTGAATACACTTATTTGTAAGAATGTATCATTTGCTATCCAATTCTTGCTATTCACTACCCCTAATTCAGGAAACCAAGAGATTCAGGTAATCAATATCCTAATTCAAGAACCAAATAGATTTTGATGGTAGTGAATATCACTTATTACCAGAAGTATAAAATGTCCTTAAATAAACACTTCAGAATTTACTTGCATTTTTATCCATGGATCACCTAATTTTTATTAGGAATACTTACATTGAAAAGATGTATAACATTATGTCAGAAAAAAGGAATAACAGGGGCTGGAGGTGATAAAGGAAACAGCAAGGAGAGCTCTGGGAATTGTGTTGCAAATACATAGTTCAGAGAGGATGAGAAGAGTCAATATCTGAAGTTAGGCTAATTTGAAGTCTTGGGAGAGGGTAAAAGTTACAGGAATGTGTAGTGAGAAGTTCTGACACTACTGTGCATTAGCTAGCTTATATTGTACTATGAGTCTTAGTTTCTTTGTTAGCAAGACAGCGATGAGAATAGTACCTACCAGGTACCACATAATATGCATGAAAGTGCCCTCTTATTTGGGAAGTCTCCCAAAACATATGGTAATGGTGGTGGGATTTATTACAGATGCTAAAACATTATCATTATAAAATACTTTCATATAGTATATTGCTTTTTAAAAAGAGCTTCTTCATAACTTTTCTTTTTATTGGGGTCAAGAAGGGTTAGCATGTTTTATGTCGAGAGTTACAACTTTATGAGAACACTATCAGGTATAGCAAGAGAGTTTTTGCTTCTGCTTAGTGTGGTATTGATCTCCAAGAACCATTAGGCATCATTTCTGGCCATTTTATTCTGGTTTTACTTTGCTTACTCTGGGAAGGTCTAAACCCATAATCAAGGGCCAAGAATTTCAAGTGTATACTTGGCTTTGTCCCTAATCCTGAGTAGCCTGAGGGAAATTTAGTGATATTCATTGGCTTTCTGATTGCTAGAGACATGGTTGTTATGCATAGTTATTTCTTGTGGAAAATTCCACAGCTACAGATTTTTTTTTAGTGGCTTGATTAATACATAAACTATAAGAGGATTTATTATGACTCCGATGTGAAATATCAAATTATAAAATGATGCTAAGTAGCTTTTTGGACTATAGAGAGATGAAGGCATTTTCAATATTTAAAAAGTAACTTTTCTCATATTTGGATAGTAATAGTAACTTTTCAAACTTAGTTGTGATTTCTTTTTCTTTTCTTTCTTTTTTTTTTTTTTTTTTAGTGCTTTAGTACTTTAATCTTTAGTACTTCACAAAGTCCTAGAGGTACATGTTTGCTTTCAGCTTCTTCATCTTATTGGTGCTTGGAATTTTAAAGAGTACTGTTTTTGAGATAGTACATACTACTTAAGAAGAGAACTCTCTTTTATAAGATGTTGGTGGAAAAGCTCATTAATATTCCATGTGGCACTTGTACTTCCTCTGTTCTCTCTTTCTCTTTCTCTCTCGCAAATGAATTACTAGGCTACTAATCAGTAATCACTGGGATGTGGATTCTGCCTTTCTGTCATCTGCTTTCATCTTACCTCTACTCATGACACTTAAACCCAATGCCAGTTCCTAATAGAAAGTTCATGAAACACTCCTTTCCTCATTAGCATTTTGTCTCTGGGAAAAACAACTCACCTTAGCCCTGAACTTCTCGCACTTTGTGGGATCACAGACTGAGTCAGAATTAACTTTTAAATCTTGAAGAGCAGTCCCCTCCTCCACCTCTCTATCAAGTCACCATCCACACCTGCCTTGTAGATGTCTTACTGGGGGACCCACTACCTCACAGGGCAGTGGGCTTCCTGTTCAGAAAGATGGAACTGTTGCCAAGAGAGAAGGCAAGAAAAATGAGCCACTGGCTGAGTCAGGAACATCTTATCAAAGATTTTGAATTATATTTGTTTGGTCAAGAGCTCATTTCAGCAGAGGAATAGTCTGAGTAAAGTTGTACATTTAGAAAGTGAATTTGACATGTGTGCAAGACAGGCAATAGCTGAGTGCATTGGGTGGCAGGGAGACCCCATAAAGGATATCTGCACCTTGTGAGGGATGCTGAGGACCTAAATGTAGGTGAGGGAAGCCCACCACACCCTGGTGTTTAACTCGGGCAGCTCATCACTGTCACCTCAGCAGCATTTTTAAAAAAATGATTGGTTGGGACCTAAAACATAGGATTTGGGTTCAGCTGGCTCAGAGTCAATATTTGTCCATTTGATTTTTAAATGCCCCAGAGGTGACTCTGCTGTGCTGACATCATTGAGGTCCGTGCAATAATAGTAGCAGTTCCTGCTGGGCTCTTAGGCTGTGCCGGCCTCCTGACATACCATTACTCACTAAATCCTCTATGGAACGTGCTGTTTCATGCCCAGTTCATAGAGGAAGGAACTAAGCACAGAGAAGTTAAGGCCCAAGGTCACATAATTAGTCTGTGGGCCAACCAGGATCCGTACCCAGCCTGGCTGACTCCAGAACTTCACTGAAATAGGATTTTAAAAGCTTTTATTGTTTGCTTTAAAAATAGCATGAAATTAAACTAACCTGCTTTCCAAAAAATATGATTTTTAAAAAATTTGTAGAACTTGAAATTCACGCACAATTTTTTAAAGGTGTGTTCTTAAAATGTTAAATTGCAGGAAAAAAAATATTTGTTTAAAAAAAAATAAAATTATTTTCTTCTGCTTCCTGTGCTGGCCCAGCATGCTTTTCCTGACTTGTTTTTCTTTCTGCTGCTACCAGCGGAAGCCCAGAAAGGTGATGTCATTTGATTTTTTTTTTTTTTGCCCCTTGTTGAGTCAATGAAAGAGTAAAAAATATATGTCTTTACTGGCATTTACAGAAACCTACTTTTCAATTATACATGTGATGTCTGTTAATAGCAGAAACATTTAAATGGCTTGTAAGGAAAAATTAAAATTATACTGTACTTTTAAAGGTAATTCAGAGAGTATCTCTTGCTACTGGTTTTAAATGACTTAAATTCATTGGAGATAAAAAAGAAGCATTTTATTTTATTTTATTTTATTTTATTTTTTGTATGGTCATTTTATTTATTTATTTATTTTTTAAATAATAAATTTTATTTTTATATTGCCCCATACAACTGCACATGCCCCATTCTGACCCCAATCCCTCCCCTCCCGGCCCCCCCCCCAAAATGTGTCTCTGGTTCATAGTTTTTTGTTGATTTTGATTTTCACTTTCTTATAGTTATTCATTCTCCTGATCCCTTATTTAAGTTTTCTAGATTCCTGCTATGAGTGAGACCATCCGGTATTTTTCTAAAAAAGAAGCATTTTAACATGGTTTATGATGTTCATGTATTTAAGCTTTTTAATTGCCCACTGATAGAAGAAATCCAGCAAAGTTTGATCACTTCTAATTCTGTCCCTTGGTCTCAGATTGTATATCAATTTTTCATAATGGAGACCTCCTTGGTGAGATGCAGGCCTGTGGGGAGGGTTTTGTTTTAATTGTACTTGGCTCCAAGATGTCCTATATAACTTGTCATTATTAAGGTAAGCAAGGGAACTAACAGAAGCAATAAAAGACTTTCATGATGTGTACTCAAATAGCTGATTTCATAGCTTTTCCTGAGTTAAAAACAGTGACAAATCTTAATACGAGAAAAAACTTTTTAAATTTTGAGAACTTTGTGTTTTTATGAACGTCTGTCAGCAAACTTCTGCTGGATTTCTATTTTGTGCATGATACTTTATTAAAGTTGTTCCCGCTAAGAGCATCAATGACTTCCTTTTGTTAAATTCAGTGCTACTTTTCCATCCACATTTTTCTTTTGCTCTCTGACACATATGATACTTTTGACTCCTTCCCAAAATCCACTTTTCCCTTGGCTGTAGCATATCTTACTTGGATGGTTTTCCTCTAACTCTCTGACCTTTCCCTCTCAGTCTTTTTTATAGTGTCTCTCCTATCATTCCTCCTTTGAATCTCAGTTCTCAAGATTCTGATATTATCCACTTGGTTTCCTTACTGTACCTACTTTCCCTAAGCCAGTTTCACCACTTTTATATGTTGACAATTCTCAAATGTTTATCTACAGATCTTGTCATAGTTCCAGACCCATCTATCCAGGTGCCTATGGGGGTCTTCACATGAATGTTTTATAGACATCCCAACTGTAATATGTTCTAAAACATAAGCCATGTCTTCTTGACAATCTTGAGTCTTATCGTGCATTTCTAGTCTTAGTGATAGCACAGTGGTCTAAACAAAAGGTCCCAGTGTTTTTCTTAACTTCCACCTGTCTTTCATTCCTTATGTTTAAGCATTTATAAAATTCTATATTTTCTACCTCCTTGCTATATCTCAGAATAATCTGATTTATCTTTCTCTATCACCACCTAATTGTTAATGGTTTGATTTGTGCATGTATTTTAGTTAAGGCCTATCTTTCTCAAATTGTGTTCCACAGATTGTTCCATAAGGTGTTAAATTGTATTATACAAAAAAAAAAAAAAATCAGGGCCTCCCCGGTGGCGCAGCGGTTGAGCGCTGGGTTGTGAAGCTGCCCGCGGCCTCTGCGACGCAGGTTCGATCCCCGGCTGCTCCCCGGCCACCAGAGGAGGGTCCCACATGGCGCGCAGACCTCTCCTGCCGCCCGCTGCTCCCCTCAGCAGTGTACTTCGGTCCTTCTGCCTGCTCTGCTCCCCGCTCTGGCTCTGGTGAATTCTCTCACCCTCCCGCGCTTCTGACTGTACCCAGTGCATGTATAAACAAACAAACAAACAAATAAATAAAAAAAAAAAAACATGCCTCTATAAAAAAAAATAAAAAAAAAAAAATCAATGTTTGTGGCCAAATAAGTTTGAAAAACACTGCAGACCACCAATTCCCATCTTGGCAATTTGTAATGAACGTGAATGACAAAAACTCTCTAGAAAAGTAATTTGTTTAACCTAGCATTCCCAGAAGATTTCTCCACATTTGGTTTGGGTTTTTTGTTTTGTAGAAAGAATTTAAATATCTTGCTCTTATTGCTTAGTTTGGGACATACTTGTGAGGAACACACTTTTTTCTCCCACATAGTTTTCTTATCAACATTTGTTGAATAATCTCTCCCTTCCCTGCTTGTTCATGGGTCTTCTTTTATCATACATTAAATTCTTAAATATATTGGGCGTCTGCTTTAGAACTGCCTTTTGACACAGACACATTTATTTTTTTGAGACGGGGCGTCTGTTGGTGTTTTTGAAGGAAGCACATTTGAGTGCAGGATAAATCATCTTTATTAGTCATGCCTTCATACATCTGAGTGTGAAATGTGAGCGTTCCTGCACCATCATTAATGGTTTAAATGAGCAAGGGTTCTTTTCAAACTGATAAAAGTGATGGTAGTTAGCAATCTCAATTTTGAGTCAGATGCATCTGAAGACTTGCCCATACTTATTTACCTTCATAATGTGCTGACTTCATGAAGCAATTTAGTAAAATTATACCTGAACCACTTAAGAATATATAATTCATCACATTTCATCTTGAGTTGCAATTTTTAATTGTTCCATTTCTCTTGACTTGCAATTAGCAATGGTCAAGTGGATTTCTTTTTACAGAGTTGTAAAGCTAATACATTTTTTGCTCAAAATATCAGGTTGATTAGATGTCATTTTGGACACCTAGAATCAATACTTTAGATACTTTGGACACCTAGAATCCAAACTTTAGGTTGCTTAGGTAATGCTAAGATTCCTTTCAATTTTATGATTCTGTGATACAGTGTATGTGGAAAAGTCCCAGTTTTCTTAGGGAAAGAAGAAAGTTATGAAGCAGTAAGCATGAACATATTTCTGTATATAAAAAAATGGATGAAGAAACTTTAAAATGTCTCTCCTAGTCATAGGTGGATGGCAGAACTTTGCTGGGTGTTTTCTGTCCTCCAGATCCACTCTACACCATTATGATTAGATCCATGGGCTTACTCCACTGCCCTCTGGCTTCTGGGTGGGTTCAGCCAATGGTGAGCCCCAGGAGATTGGAGAGGGAGAGGAGAGTGGTGGTGGAGTGTCAATTTCCCTAACTCCGTACCTGCAGAATAGCCTTGAGCTGGTTGTATCCCTCAAATGAAGGTTACAGCCCCTCTCTTGGACTGCTTCTCCATCTGATTCTCTCCTGCTTCCTGGTAACCACTACCTCCCTTTGCCCTTTGCCTCCAGATGGTAACTCACTGTTATCACTATCCTGGTGATTTCACTCTCCCTTTCCCAAAGATACTAGTGATCATCATTCACGTAGTCCACTGGCAATGTCAGCAGCTAGGTGCTTGCTTAAGGAAATGTTGGTTGCTGTCAGTTATCTCTTGGCTAGGTGGATGTGCACTTACATTTTTTTTTTTTTTTCTCTTAGATCCAAGAGTTGAGAACTGGTTCCTCATGTCCTCACCGCTGCCACAAACCATCATCCTGGGATTCTATGTCTATTTTGTCACTTCCCTAGGACCAAAGATCATGGAGAATCGAAAGCCCTTTGAACTCAAGAAAGCGATGATAACATACAATTTTCTCATAGTACTCTTTTCTGTGTATATGTGTTATGAGGCAAGTGTCTTCAATATTCCTATTGGGAATTTTGCCTGAGTCTTCCTGTTTATTTGTGATTATGTTTTCTGTAACAACTAAAAAAGAGTAGCTCTTTAAGAATTAAGGGAGTATAGATGCTTAGCTCACTAGAGCACCTATTTAACCAAAGAAATTATATGGAAAGACCAGATATTGAACTCTTTAGAAGCTATCAGTATGGTCTCACAACCTCACATGTTGTGAAAAAAAGTAACATTAAGTACAGGGACTTGCCTATAGTTAACCTATGTACCTACAAATGAATCATAAATGTTAGTTTTGAGGAAACTCCCACTCAGAGAAACTAAATAACTTACTCAAGGTAACATCACCAGTTAAGTAGAGGACTGATTTTTGGACCCAGGTCTCTCTGATGTCAAAGCTCATCCTGACTCTGTAACAAGTTGTAAACATCATGGTGGAGAACGTTGGTTTCTGCGAGCTCTGATGAGCACTAAGATGATGGACTATTTGGTTTGGTTTAATTGGGCTTTGCAAGGACAGAGAAATAGGCTCATGCAAAGGAGTAGATGAAAGAGGCTGTCACTTAATTGTCAGTAAACAAGATGGGGATTTTCCAGGGCCCCAAAACAAACTCATGAATTCTCTTTCACCCCTGCCCCTCTCTGTTATTAACATGCCTCTGCCACCCTCACTTATGTGCCTTTCTGAGATTTTTGCTTTTCTTTTAATACTGGGTGGCTTCTTCATCCTCTACTCCGTCCTTCCTTCCTCTGCAGTATAACCTGTGCTTCCTCTTAACTGGGACTCACAAGCACCTAGCTTGGCCCCTCTGGCTTCTCTTGACACCACAGCCTTGCACATACATCCTTCCAGCCTGAATCCTGCCATATATCCACCTGATCAGGTCACCTTAAATATGCTCTGGCCTAATTTCTCACAGGCTTCTCTGTAGTCTGGACTTATTTTTCTTGTACTTTATTTCTAAAATTACCAATGGATCATGCTTATTGTCCTTTCTGGAGTACAAGTCACGGAAAGGAAAGGAGTCATAGAAATGGGGAATAAAGAAAATACATGCTCTATCATGTTTTCAGAAATATACTATGGACTAACCATGTCTCCTAACTAACCAGGGGCTAGTTAGTCCTGATGATGCTACTAACTAGCTACCTGATTTTGAGCAAGTCATTTAACCTCACTGGATCTCGGTGCGGATGCAACCAAATTGTCTTTTGGGTCCCTTCATGCTCTGCTGTTCTTAGATTCTGTCTCTGTGTCACTGATTATGGTGTCCTTGAATATATTTCTTAAGTTTAGAAGGAATCTCCAATATAAGTAGTCAACTTTGATTCCTATTTTAGCAGTTACAATGTAAAAGAAGGTTAGAAATTTGAGAATTTCTGTCTCCCATTAACCTGTAATAGTTGAGTTGCTTGTAGGCCACTTTTTAAAGTTTATTACCTAGCCAAATACCAGTTATTACACTTTCTTCTTGATAGCCTGAAATACAGACATGTATGTCAACTGTTCCACAGACCGATTGAAGCTTAATATCCTAGACTTACTATCAGGAAAGCATTAAGTTCCATTGTCTATGTAAACAAAGACAGTCAAGGAACATGTCCTCTGCAACACACATTTGAACTCATGGTTTATTGGGTGGAGCAGAATTTCATTTGGTGTACAGAGTAAACACCTTTGTGAGGAGTATTCAGGCACATATGAACAAGGTGAAAGTACATCAGACTTAAGGAACCCACGTGTCTTATTTTATAGTGATGGTTTGAATGTTTTAGTTATTTGCTGCCAGGCTGACATAATAGAGGCCAATCAAGACCCCACAGCAGTGGCTAAGTCACACAGCTTCTCCTATTTAACACAAGTAGAGAATCAGTCATCCCAGTTTAAGTAAGTGGGCTTTGAGTGTTACTTGCCTCAGTCAGAAATGAATCTGAGCTCAAGAGAATATGAGGACACTCACTGACAAATCAGGATTTTATAAAACAGAATGGCCATTTCTGTGCCATTTGAGGAAATGTATTGACTTGCTTCTTTGTAAGATGGTTCTCTCCCTTGTGAAATATGTCTCATACTTCCCCAATCTCAATTTTTCAATATTTCATAGCTGACTAACAGTGTGATTAAATTATCTTATCAATCAAACTAGGAGCTGTTTTCAGAAAAGGATGATGTGTTTTCAAATATCTGAGTCTAAGTAGTTGTTCTCCTTTGTTTCTTTTCACCATTAAAATAATCAGATAATGTCTCATAAATCTTTGCCTTATGAAAAGCTAGTTTATTATAAATAAAGTTATCATTTTAGCTTTAATAGTAAAGATAAATAGAAATTTAGAATGTCCTTCAGTGACAGAAAGTAATGTAAACATTGTGCTGAGAAAGAAGACATTCTAGCTAAGATATTGGCACTTATGAGAATATTTGAGAAGTAATCATTATCATAATCCTAGATTTAGTCATGCATTTAATGTATGAATTAATTTAGAATTGGAGTTCTAGTTTTTCAGTTTCAGATACTATTTTAAAAGAAGATCTTCTGCCATCAGACTGAAAGAATGTCAATATAGTCTTTGAATTACAATTTGAACTTAATCACAATAGGCCTTTTCTTCTTACCACTAGCCTAAGGTCACTTTGTGGGTGTGTTGGAATTAAGGCCTGCCAGATTACACTCTTATTGTTAAAATTTTCCTCTCTTTCTTGTCATGTGAATCCAAACCAAAACTAATATCTGAGTCTCGTATTTGGTCAATCTCGATTTTAAAAGCCATTCACTACTACTTCATGTTACACCCGCCCACCAATGGCAGGATAAACCCAGTTGTAGTAGTCATCTTCTGAGTATGTTGCGGAGTTTTTGTTTGCCCGTTTTTTTACTGACTGGGAAGATTGGAAATTACCACAAAAAACTGAGACCCAGTTATCTCCTTTGAACCAGCAAACATAAGTATGGCATATGTAGATGGACATAAGATAAATCAGTTATGCTTTTTCTGCACCAGCAGATAGCATGCACCTGCACTACTTGCTATTTAAACAAAACACACCCAGTATTTTGCTCTCCACTTATATTAGAATAATCGTCCCAAGAAATGGACGTCTTAATAGAAACACATTATTTAAATAATAGATGAAATTCTTGTTGCTTTAATATCAAGTAAGTTCCCAGTTTGTAATTGCTTTAACCCACCTTTCCTCCTGTGCTGACTGCTGATTCAGCTAAGACTGGAGAGACATGATCAAAACTACCTTTGTTGTAGCTGTTGAACAAATACTTCCTTCTTTAACATGCATGCTCTCTCTTTCAGTTTGTGATGTCTGGCTGGGGTACAGGTTATTCATTTCGATGTGAAATTGTTGACTATTCACTGTCACCTACGGCATTGAGGGTAAGTTTCCCTTTGGAAAAACTCAAAACTCAAAATTAATAGTAAAACTTTTGGACTCTCTGTAACACTGACTGGGGATTCAGAATGAGAAATGACTAAATTGGCAGTTTATATTTATTGAGAGAGGGAAATTCAAAATTACCAGAAAGAATCAAAGAAAGTCAGGTATTTGTTTTCTATAAAATAAAATTGGTGCTATTCTTTTTGAATTTAAAAATAAATTTCTATCTGCTTCCTCAAAAATTAAAAATATAATTACCATAAGATCCAGTAATTTCAGGAAGAAATTGAGAGTGGGTACTGAAAGAATTGAGAGTGGGTATTCAAAGAGATACTTAGGTACTCATGTTCATAGCAGCATTATTCGCAATAGGCAGAAAGTGAAGGCAATTCAAATGTCCATAGACAAATGAATGGATAAACAAAATGTCATGTATACATACAATGTTATATTATTCAGCCTTAGCAAGGAAGGAAATTCTCATACAGGCTACATATTTGAGACCACATGGAAGTACTGAGTAGTCACATTCACTCAAAATGGTAGTTGTCTAAAGCTGAGGGAACAGGAGATGAGGGAAGATTGTTTAATCAATAGTCTCAGTATTGTAAGATGAAAAGCTCAATGGATGATGGTAGTGATGGTTGCCCAACAATATAATGCCCTTAATGCCCCCAAACTGTACACTTTATAATAGTTAAGTTGGTAAATTTTAAGTTATATGTGTTTTGCCAAAATTTAAAAAAAATTTCTTTTCATGAAAAAATCATTCACATCTATGTTTCCGTAGATGGCGCGCACCTGCTGGCTTTATTACTTCTCCAAATTTATTGAGCTATTAGATACTGTGAGTATGTGGTCAACACACTTGGTAAATGTTTGATGTCTCAATGGAAACAATAAACTGCTAAGAGTTCGGTTGTCTGATAGCTTCTGTTATCTCTCCTCAGGCAGACCTAGAATCGTATACCTTCTATTATCAGTAATTTTAGAGAATATACAGAGGATAAACTTATTTTCAGTCTTTCGCAAACTCAAAAGCTTTTCTTACATATCTACCACCTGATTAAGATAAGCATGCATCTGTCACCTACACAATAAAACAGATGTTTATGTAGTTTGATGGCAGTTGTTCTGTGATGCAAATTCAGGAAGCAAAGAGCAGAGAACATTTTGAAAGAACCTTTGGTTCTGTATACCAAAGCACTGTGTCATTCATACTCCTTTAAGAGGAGAAATGCTTCAAAACTCATAAATTTCACAAGGATTTACATTACTTCTGGAGTTTCAGCAATTTGTATAATATCAAAACCATCTCAGCTGCCTTTCTGAAGTCTGTGCTTACTGTGTCCTCTCTCTTGCTGAATATCAACTCTGAGATTGGGTGACTGGGCCCTTAGGGAAGCCTGGGTTAGGGTCCATGATGAGAAGAGAAAGAGGCACCAGAATTGCTTAGGAAAATTCATTGCTGGATATTCATTATATATTCATTGTATCTTTGTGGCGTATGGATCTTAGTTATCTGGGATCAGTTCTGGATCTAAGACTGAAATTGTATTCAGTATTCTCTCTTCAGAATGTATACCACAACATTTCCCAACATGCTTCACCTTCTCAATTGACTATATAATGTTAGAATTGGAAGGGACTGTATTGGCATAAAACCAAGCAGTTATCAAACTTAAATGCAGATACCTACCCCAGCCCCAGAGTCTCTGATGCAGTAAGTCTTGGGTGGGTCTTAAGATTTGCATTTCTAGTAAGTTCTCAGGTGATGTTATTGCTGTTGCTTCAGGTCCCACATTTTGAGAACCCCAGCTGTAATCTAGAGGTTCTCAGAACTCATAACACAGTAGAACTAATTCCACTAGGGGAGAGAACAAGGAAAACCTGGGCTCTTCTCCAGAGATTTGGTGCCAGATGGCCTGTAATAGAGATGAGGCGTGGCAATTTGGACATTGTAATTTGCAGCCAAGGTTGAGAACTACTGATCTAGTCCAGAAATAAGTTAAAGACAAGAAGTTGTTACTTACTTAGAGAAATGCTGTTACCAATGGGAGCTAGGACCCCAGATTGTTGGTTTATGGCTTTTTCTGTTATACCATGCTGCTCTCTTCCATGTGCATAAGCAAACGAATTTTGGCTTTATTGTTTCTGCTTCGCATGTTGTCAATTCCAGGTTCCATAAGAAAACTTTGGCTGCCTCTGTGTCCTGCCCTAAACTACTTTTTTCAAATACTCCTATGAATACTGCCATTTCTGCTTCTCTATTTAAACCCATATTGAGAAATCTCTCTCATCCATGGTGTATTCTAAATTTCAAATCTTCTTGAACATTTAATTTTGCGATTGAGTATGCTTTCACATTTCACTCCTGTTTGTAGAGTTTATGAAAACTACTGGGCACATTCAGTCTGGATGGTTCCTTCATTGCCCTTCTAACTTTTAGGCAACTTTATTTGCTCTTCCACCCTATTTCCCAAATAAACTCTCCAAGTTTTCCCCTTTCACCTTTCTTTAATAGTAATTTGCTAACTTTTGCTTTGTTGCATGTCCCTTCTCAGTTGGCTTAATCCCTTATCTAAATTGGTAGGATGTGTTAGAAAGCAGTGTGGAATAATTTCTGTCCTAAGAATGAATTCTTCTGCTTTCCCATATACTTCAAAACCCACTTGGATATTTTTTTTTTTTTTTTTTTTTTACGCTGTTGAAGTCTAGATAACGGCTCGTCTCATGGAGGGGAGAACACCGGAATAGGTTAGACTTTCATGCTATAGCAAGCTCAAATTGTGTCAGACAGCTTTGATCATCTGGCACAGAGTGTTGCTTGCAGCACTTGGATATTTTTTTACCAATAACCTTTCTTTGAATGATTTTCGGCCATGTTCTTTACTTTATATCTTTAATTTTTAAATCTGCATAAAATTTCTTTTCACTTTTTTATTGATTCTCCCATGACTAAGCCTCATATCTAAGTTCCTTCAACCTGCTTCACTTTTGAGCTGTCCCTTGGAGAATCAGCTGCTTCTATGAGCATTCTATAAGGCAACCCTTTGAAAGCAAATTATGATGTGAAATAGTTTGCATTTTGCCGATGGTTTTGTAATACTAGATAAATTATTTTATGATTTTATATGAACTTGATTTTCTTTAAATTATTTCAGATCTTTTTTGTTCTACGTAAGAAAAATAGCCAAGTGACTTTCCTGCATGTCTTCCATCATACCATCATGCCATGGACCTGGTGGTTTGGAGTCAAATTTGCTGCAGGTAGCCAAGGGAGAGCTGGGATCATGTGTTATCAATGATGACATTTCTGTTTGTTATAAACACAAATTTTATCCTTAAATGTGAGTTAAAAGAAACTCAAAACATCCAAAAATCACTTTGATCAAACTTATGACTTCTTATTACCTGACACATCAATGTAGGACTCCTACCCAGATCCCTCCCACCCTCTACTCTTTAGATATGACTTTTGGGTACAGTCTTCTACATGTACACTTTAGTTGTTTTGTTTGGATTTTTTTCTGCTCCCATAAAGGTCTATTAAATGTCTTTAAATAACAAATAAAAGAATAAATGAAATGGTAAAAGCTTTGGCTTTATCGGAATATGACTGGATATATTTTCTTTAAGTTAGTTTCCTATGACTTCCTAAAGGGAAGTTTGTTTGTCTCAAATTCCATGTCTTCTTTGCCTTCAAATTGCTGATAACTAATTCACACTCTATCCCCTAGCAACTCTTTAAATATTTATCAAATTACAGTTGTCTCAACTCTGGACATCCCACTATATCAAAGGATGTTTTGACATTTTAGGTAAAAGGTGGTTTAAATCAAAAGCTTGGCAAAAGGGCTCTTTTGTTTGGTTTTAGTTTTATGCTTCTGAATATCTTGAATTTTTTTTTTAAGATTTATTTATACAAGAACTGGTGTACAGGCCAGAGGCACAGGAGGGTAAGAGAATTCACCAGAGACAGAGTGAGGAGCAGAACAGGCAGACGGACCAAAAACACTGCTAAGGGAGCAGGGGAGACAGGAGAGGTCTGCCGCACCATGTGGGTATCTCCCTGGCTGGCTGGGAATTGAACCCATGCTGAAGAGGCTGCAGACAGCTTCACAGCACAGTGCTCAACCCGCTGCACCACCAGGGAGGCCCTGAACATCTAGAATTGGGAAAACGGGGATTAAGAAATTTTGCCAGTCATAAAATTTAAAAAAGTGATCTCCCCAAGGACATATTCTTATTTATTTTTTTTCTTAGATCTTTGTTAATTTTTGTACAGTATTTGATTTCTTCCCTCTGGTGTAGTTCCTATAGTTCTCCCACCACCATGTCACCCATCCCAAGGACATATTCTTATTAGCAGGTTAGTTTGGGGATTTAGTTTTGCTAGTTTCTGAAGCTTAAGAAGTTTCTAGGTAGGACTGTGGCCCATATTAGACAAAGCTTTAAAATTTCTGTGAATAATTCACCTTTGTTTGGCATTCTGACTCTATAAGACTAAAAGAAAAGGAGAAACACAATTGAGGGACTCTTGCTTGAGCATTAAACTTTCTAGGCAGGGGGAAACCTGCATGTATCAGAGCATGAGTAGCAGAAAGGAGATGCCAGAATCTACAGGAGCCAGAGGTCTGTCCCTACTGTAGCCACAGTCATTGGATTAAATAGTATATAAAATCTCTCCTTGTCCAAAAGGGGCATTTATTTGTTGAAGACTTTAAAAAGTAAATACAGCTATTTTTTTCTTATAATTTATGTTAATATAAAAAGGTCACTTACGTGTTAAGAAGATAGTTTCATTTGTGTCCATTCCACAAATCAAAGGTAGCTATATAATTTAATCTCCACTATTTTACTGTACTTTTTACAGTTTATTTTCCATCACATGGACATTGTGCCTCTGCACTCTTTTGATAGTGCTATGTATTGATACCTTATTTCTGTTGGTGAAAAATTGGAAAATTCCTGAACATTCACTAATGAAATGGTGATGATTTCTCACATGTATGTAATTGTGAAATGCAAATGATATTAAGAAGTATTTAGTTCTTCTTCACTGTTAAGCAACTTGATTTCTAAATTATCAGAAATAAATGACTTTTCTATTTTTAAAATATGCTAAAAGAGGTGGTGTCACATTAGACTTTATTCAGATTTCTTCCATGAGATTAAAATACTATAAAATGACACTAAAAAATAAACAGAAACAGAAAAAAACATTGGAGGCCAATCTCCCAAATTGTAGAGATTTAGAGACTTTGACCCAAAGTGGTTTCCCACTCCGCTACGATTTTCTGTGCTTTCTAATGTTTTATGTTGAATATCTGTTTGCTCTACGATGAGAATAAATATACTGTATTTGAAGAATAGAGTTGAACATTTTTCTGATTTCTACTTTTTAGTCCACTTATATCTAGCTTGCAATGTTTTCAATAATGAAAATTTTAATGTTGTAATGCCTCCATTTTTCAACGTTACTTTATTTTTGGATTTTTGAGCAGTTTGTGGTGGATTCATTGTCTACACTTAAACCCCTCTCCCCATCCCCACCATTTTACAAAATGTAAAGAATAGAAAATAACAATTTCTCTCTCAGGTGTACCATGAGTTGGCATTTCTGTTTAGTCTCCAGGTAGAATGTAGTCAACACGTGTACAGCACACCTAACCTCTGCTGTGACAAATGCAGCAAGAAGGGCAGAGGTGTTTTGGCATTGGCTTCTATTCGTAGGGTGAAACTGTCCATTTTAAACTGTTTTTGCAAAAGCTGGAGCATAACTGATCTCTATCTAGCATTTAATTTCCTGTTTGTCTATTGTACTCCTGTGGATAATAGCAATCCAGCTTTTCTTTTGATAATGAAAATGTTGTTGTGGCAGATTTTTATATTAATAATGCATAACTCCCTTCTAGAGATATGGAAAATTGTGATAATTACCCAGGTGATTCCTTTATTTTTTCCAAACCAAAGGGGTAAAGTGTGGTGGTACTAATTATAGTTCATCCTGAAATATTTGCTTTTTCAAACCTGTTATCATAAAAGAGAAAGCAAACTTAGAAAATACTTTATTAGAAAGTTTACCAAAGAAGATATGAAAAGCATTATTCATTAAAATGTGATTGTTTTGTGAACATTAAAATAACTTATCTGACAATTATCATAGAAACAATAAGAAAGTCAATTTTATTTGATAGTTATTTTAATCAGTAACCCTTACCAGACCCTCTTAGCTGTACTAGTGCTTTTTTAAATTTCTGTCCATTGGTTCCTTGTTTCAGGATATTTAAATGGGGAAAGTTCCTGAGTGGACAATAGACATTCTTCTGCCAAAAGAAGGGAGAAATGTCTTAGTGAAAAAGGCTCTGATGTAGTTTGGTAATATGTGGACTATAAAGCAACTAAATTAGTGGTCAGATAAAGACAAGCTGAAAAACTAACTCTTGATAGCTGGTTGGTGGGGAAGGGGAGGAAAGGCAAGAAGGGAGGGAGGCATAATGGTCTGTGGCGGTGGAGTATGGGCAAGTTGGTGGTGAATGCACTATGGTGGTAATACCTGATGGGGACACCCCAGTATTACCTTAGTTAAAAATAAATAAACTGATTTTTTTAAGGGAAATAGGTTTTCTAATGGTGAGATACACATGGATTTGAGAGGTATCTGACTTGTACCCAAATTCAGCAGCTTGATTCCTAACTATAAAAAAAAAAACTGTTCTATTTTTAAATTACCCTAGAAAACCTCTTTTCACACCACTGCCATTTATTTATTTTTGTTTCTTTGGGAAATAAGACTACTTCAAATGTAAATAATAAAGTTGTTAATAAGCTTCTGTAACTTAGTTTCTTCTGACTTGAAATTTGTGATATTTAAAGGATTAGCTGAAAGTTGACTTACATTGTTCAGGAGAGAAAAGTTTATAACACAGAGTACAGCATAATTGAGACTTTGAGATAAATATTTAAAATACCTAAAAGTAATTATTTAAAAATGTTATTTTAAGGAAGTAACTTAGTGGTGGTAGTACCTTGAAGTCTTTAGTACTGGAATTATGAATGATCATTAAAAAGTAATTAGCATCTACTATGTAACAACATTCATTTATTCCACCACACTCCACTGTGCTCTCCTCCCCTCTGTTCTTTACATTCCTCCATCTCTCCTCCTCCTAAATGTCTCAGATACATAGTTTGCTTTCAAGGGTCAGTTTGTCTTTGTCTGATCCTTGGTTTGGTTTCTCTAGATTCCACATGTAAGTGAAACCATCTAGTATTTATCTATTTCCTTTTGGCTCGCTTCATTCTTCATAATCCCTTCCAGCTCCATCCACGTTGCCTCAAATGGTATAAGTTTATCTTTTTTGACCGCCGAGTAGTATTCCATTGTGTACATATACCACATCGTCTTGAGCCAGTCATCTGTTCTGGGACATGTAGGTTGTTTCCGTGTCTTGCCTATTGTAAATAGTGCTGCTATAAACATAGGAGTGCAGGTTTCCTTTTGAATTAGTGTTTTTGTGCTATTTTATTTGTTGTTGTTGTTGTTGTTATTGTTGTTTTGTGCTATTTGGAGAGATTCCTAGGAGTGAAATTGCTGAGTCCTATGGTAGATTCATTTTTAGTCTTTTGAGGAATCTCCATATCTTTTCATAGAAGCTGGCAATCTGCATTCCCACCAAGAGTGTAAGAAGGTTCCTATTTCCCCACACCTTTGCCAGCACTTGTTGTTTGTAGTCTTTTTGATATGGGCCATTTTTACAGGTGTGAGGTGTATTCATTGTGGTTTTGATTTGCATTTCTCTGATGATAAGTGATGATGAACATTTTTCCTATGTCTGTTGGCCACCTGTATGTCTTCTTTGGAGAAGTGCCTATTTAGCTCTTCTGATTTTTTTTTTATTGGATTCATTGTTTTCTTTTTATTAAGTTGCATAAGTTCTTTATGGATTTCCTATATCAATCCCTTAGAAGATGTATGGCGTGCAGATATTTTTCCCATTCAGTAGGGTGTCTCTATGTTTTGTTCACTGTCTGTTTTGCTGTACAAAAGTGTTTTAGTTTGATATAGTCCCAGTTTAACTTCTCCTTTGTTTTCCTTGCTGCTTAAGAGGAATTTGCAAAGATGTTTGTGAGGTATATATCATGGAGTGCTTTGCTGTTTTCTTCTCTATATATTATGGTTTCAGGTCTTAGATACAAGTCTTTTATCCATTTTGAATTGATTTGTGCATATGGTTTTAGATAGCGATCTAGTTTCTTCTTTGGCAAGCGGCATGCCAATATTCCCAGCACCATTTACTTGTTCCCATGTATATACTTTTGCTCTTTTGTCATATAGTTGTCCACAAATGTGTAGTCTTGTTTCTGTTCTCTCAATTCTATTCCACTGGTCTCTGTGTTTATTTTTATTCCAATATCTTGCTATTTTAATTATTGTGGTTTTATAATATATAGTTTGAAGCCTGGAAGTGTGATACCACAATTTTTCCCCTTTTTAGTTGGGAGAGCTTTGGCTGTTCAGGGCTTTCTGTGGTTCAATATGAATCTCAATAATCTTTGTCTCTTTAAAGAAGGTCATTGGGATTGCATTGAATTTGTAAATTGCTTTAGGTAGAATGGCTATTTTGGCAATGTTGATACTTCCCATCCATGAGCAGGTAATATCTTTCCATTTCTTTGTGTCATCTTCTATTTCTTTTCTTTTTTTTTTTTTTTTTTTACTTTTTTATTTAAATTTTATTTTTATATTCCCCATACAATTACAACCCCCTTATTTTGACCCCAAGCCCTCCTTTCCCTTCCCCCCACCCCCACAGAGTATCTCTGGTTCATAGTTGTTTGTTGAT